ATCATAATAATGTAGCACGCAGTGGGCACGCAATCACTAAAATTAATTTGGGCTAAATTAAACTGTACTTTGTACCAAATCCGGTTAATGTATGGGTGATTGGGTATGCTATGTACTCTATCTTATTTACAGGTTCAATTTAATGACGTCGGAACGCCTAGAAACCCCAGGTATCCGATCAATACGATAATCAGTTGTTGTTGTATAATAATAATAATAATATAATATGATCTGATATTAAAATGTTACTTATTGTATTTTTATTCATGATGTACAGTACTATGAAATTAGGTAGTAATAATTAAGTTATTAGTGAGTAAAGTACAGTTCATTTATCGTCAACAATTTGTTATTTTCGATTGTACTATATAATTTTGTTAAACATTTTGTATCAAAGTAAGTCGACCAGTCTAGGTAGTTGGCAAAATAGATATAGCCTTTGCGCTTACGGTAATCTTATACCATGATAGATAGACAGTTTATAAATGAAAAAAAGTCATCCTTTAACTACGAATAACATTTCATATTACTGTCCATCAGTATACAAAAGATAGCTTACTATCCATTTCATTCTACTACTGATTACTGAACGAGTATCTGCAAAGTTCGCTATGATGATTCTAAGGTACATTTACACGATGGATTCTTCCATTTTCCGGGACTAAGGCTAGAGAGTACCTAGCAAAGAGGCACATAATCAAGATCAACTCGCGTGAATATCACGTCAATTTTGCCTGAAGTAATTCGCAGGGACATTTAAACCATCAAGAAAGAATTAACAACATAATATCATAGCGATGTGTAACAGTTGTCTTTGTTAAGTGGAGAATATGGGTTGTAACGGCTGTACAAAGTGTACAAACTGTACATGATGGACCCATATAGCGTAAATGGCAAACTGCCTGTAGCAAAAAGAACAAAGCTTTTATTGTTAAATTAGGCAGTCAATAAAAGATTACGGGCAAAATTAGTTGTAATATCAATTTGTCGATCTCCCTTAAACTCTGCCGCTTGTTGTTGATATGTTACAGTCCATTCGTTCTACAAAAGTAAGAGACGGCTACTATTCAATATTGAATAGAATACAGCAGTACGCTGTCTACAACACATAATGACAATGTAGAAAGTCTGTATGATGCTGACTATTTTGAGTTTACGCCATCTATTTTGGTATTAACCTTTTCTGTGGATTAGGCCTTGCATATTGATGTAGTTCGCAAACACTGTTGAGCTAGTCTTGTATTTCTATTAATTATGATACAACAATGAGTGGTATATTTGCAGAGATTTATAAAGGAATAACAAAGTAGAAAAAAAAAATAAAGACAGTGCTGTATTATTCATAGCGATCTAGGTAAGATGTCACGAAGAGATAGATCGTTTTTCTATAGGAAGATAGAGATGAATATTGACAGAACTACTAGATGAGATTGGATCTTTGATAAAATGATTTTTAGAACGTTTTTGTAGCAAATCGTATGCAATCTTGTACAATGCATCAGCCAAAGCAGGGACTACAGGCGTATCTTTCCTGACATTCCATTGAATCAAAATGCCCAGTAAAAATATACTGTACTGTACATATTGTAGTCAACGTGTCAACAGTCAATGAAGCAAAGGCTGAACAGGTGTAATGGTAGACACGAGCAAACATGTACAACTATTAATTTTGGCATTAAACAAAGCCCTTAATCATTCCTAACTGTCTACTCATACAAACTGTCAGGATAGTCTGGCAGTTTAGATTATCCGGATATCTTCCTTCTCTTAAAGCGTGGCATAGCGTATCTCCTCTCCCCATTTTTAGTTATTATTTTTCTACGTCCTGTATAACCATGCTGTGTGTATGCTTCACTAGTGTAAGGCTAATTTAGTCACAGGGTGATGAATTCATGACTAATGAACACCATTTCATTCTTTATAAAGTAGCAAAGTTGAAATTGATGAAAGCGTCAAGTTACCAGCCATTCTAGAAATAGTGTAGCGTTATTTAAAGACAGAGGGTTTAGATACGACTCACTACGAGGTCGGTTATCGTACTCAACTCCATCAATCACGCCATTAGCGCCTAAGCTAACGTCAATGTCATCCTATCATGGTCTACCAAGAAAGAAAGAAAGAATTGCAACAAATGCGGTAGTGGCAGTTTTTCACTGCACTTCTTTAACAGCATGAATTATTCTGTTCCACATCCAATAAAATGATTCAAGTCATAATACTGTACAGTAGATTATTGATCATGATTATTATTATTATTATATTATCATTATATTATAATTTATTCAATCAAATAGATAGAATCGATTCATAGTAGTTGTCGGAATAAAGTCCAATTCAATCGAAGTAAAGTAGGATAGGATTAGGATGATGGATGGTCATATGGTCCATCATCCGCTAATTCCGCTTTTCTTTTCGATCAGTCGACCAGTCCACCAAGGCCGTCCATCATATATTGACAGACATACCGACACAAGGACGTCGCTCGTGGGAGAGTCGTGCTCCGTGTTCGACATGCTCGTTGATTGTTTCGGTCATTCATTAGGTGAAGCGTGCACTAATTCGAGGCTGTCCTTGAAGGTGACGATACCATAGATACAGCGAAAGCGTGTTGGTTAGCGTCAGTTGAGTTATTGTTCTCCAGTGATGCAATCGAGGATTGCGCAATCAAATATTGCGCAATCCTAGCACCAAGTCAACACAATCACTTTAACTAGACATGACTTACTATCAAGTATCAAGTCGGGTCAACATTTCTAATAATAATTATAATAATAATTGGAATTATTATCGCTGAATGAAATGACGTCTCCACCCAAATGGGACAACTAACCTGGTGTCGTATCGACCGGTAGGCGTAACATATAAAAACCACGTCCACTCGGGGTGTCATTCACAAAGCTCAACTTCAACTCAACGAAAAGGCGTTTTACTACTCCATTACTCCATTGGGTAAGTAGGCCATTTTTCGAGGCTAATTTCTCTCTAATTTAATTCAAGAGAATGGATTAATCACCAACACAAGCAGTAGAATCAATAGCGTTGTATTCAATTATAATCATCCATAAGTAGAAGGAAATAACTGTAAAGTAAATTGATTAACGCTCATTTAATTGATCCATTTCGCCATGTTCATTGATCCTGCAACCGGCTTCAGTCTATTTCACTATCACTCTTTAAGCTAACAATGAAGTGCCCACAAGCGACATAAAATGAAGTTTGTATCATTAGGAAAATTATCCAGGCGTGAAAAAATGACAACGAAGAATACTATTGACTAGGATAATTTTTTGACCATGGACTAGTTGTATGGCATAAGTTGAATTGAATTGACATGCATCTTCTTGTATGTACTATTTCATACTGTACAGTGTAGACGACGTCAAAGACAGTCTGACAACTGGGTAGGCATTCATTGGACACACACAATGATGATGCCACAGCTGCGGTCTTGGCTATCCATTGGAAATCAATGGCATAGATCCATGGTAGTCATCAGTGAAAAAGAGGAGAGGAACCAAAAAAAAATGACTGGATTGATTTGAACATGGATTCAAAGTACTCTACTCTACTCTACATGAAATGGATAGCATTTTGAGTAGACGAGATTGACATGGAGACTTTTTATCCTATTCAATGCTTGGATGCAAACCAACTTGTCAGCCAGTTGTATTCAAGTACAGTTCTAGTCAAGAGTGGATTGTAGACCGTTCCTAAAGGATTCTACTGAATGTGTAAAAGCATATTCCATACAGAATAGAACTCTTTCGAACTAGTTTACAACACGCTTGCTCTACATACAGTCAATTAATTTAGTAATTATCCTTGCAATTATCAACATCTACGGTACAGTATACACTGTACTGCATTTTCTTTATTTCCTAGACTGTACTGATTACTACAACAATAATTCTAATGCACTAAATTAAGTTTTATTTCGTATTGTCAGCCATACTTTAGTATCGGATAATGCAATCCATTCGCCTCTCCGTACTGCTCATAGTACAGCATAATTTTAAAAACTTATTATATACAGCATTGTCACTGATTGTCTACGCAGTGGATAGTATGTTATGTTTTTTAATCTTTTCTTTATTAATTCAAATCAAATAATGCAGTAATTATTAGAATAGTAAATGGATGTTACCACTACAAGCTGACATAGCGTAGCCGTATCTCTCTGTTCTAGAGTTCATTTTTCGCTATGAATAGACAGTACTGTAGTCTAGTCTACAATATGTACTGTACTGCTCGCGTAACTACAGTACTGTGCTTCCACTTTTTACTTTATAATACGTATTGTAGTAAACGACTGTTATGGACTCAAACAGTACTCTACTGTACTAAGTAGGAAGGCGTTTAGCGTGGCGTATTCATGCCTATCTATGGATTAACAGTATTACAGTATAATGTACAGTAGTACGATTCTGTATGGAAGAGCATTAATGAACTCGATGACAGTATCTTGATTTATTGGATGCATGGAAACGCGTGTTTATACCAGGTTAAACGCTCCCACTGTCGTACTGTACCTGCAGAAATAGCACTCTTGCAGGATACTTGTGATCTCGGGTAGTTAGAAGATGCGTTACTCATGTTTCATCAGCATCGTCTTACTGTATTAACTTGATTTGCATAAATCATCAGTCGATTTTACTATCGTCATCATCCTTTCGTTGCCGTTGATTCAGATATTAAGTTGTACGCTTTTTTAAGCCGGTTGCATCAGCTGTACACGTTAACTACTTCAACTGATTACACAATTTTAATGCTTTAGCGTGCTCAGACCAATTTTATTTGAAGACTAATTTCAGCTGTTGTACTGTACTTTACATTACAGTAACGACTGTGAATAGCGATATATCCTACAGTACTTGCAAATAACGTACATACTGTACATATTCATTGGAAATGTTTGGATTCATAGGTGTGAAATTGCAAAATCCCTAATCACAATGGCAAGTCATGATGAAATCGTTTTAGCTCCAACAGTCAGCCAATATATGAACTTAGATCAAGGTGGCAGAGTTCAGGTCATGTATGTCTGGATTGATGGCACTAACGAAGGAATGCGATGTAAAACAATGACAGTTGAAACTGAACCAACATCTCCTAGCGATCTACCAACATGGCACTATGATGGATCCAGCTGTGGTCATGCTGATGGTGGAGACAGCGATGTCTACTTAAAACCTGTAGCCATATTCCGAGATCCTTTTCGTGGTGATCCGAATAAATTAGTTTTATGCGATACCGAGTATTATGATGGTAAACTAACTCATACCAACAAAAGACGTCGATGTGTAGCGGCTATGGAAAAAGTCAAAGATGATCATCCTTGGTTTGGAATTGAACAGGAGTATGTGTTGTTAGATCATGAAAAGCCTTTATGCTGGCCTAAGAACGGCTTTCCTGGTCCACAAGGTCCTTATTACTGTAGTGTTGGTAGCGGAAGAGTATTCGGTAGACCCATCATTGAAGCTCACTATCGTGCTTGTCTCTTCGCGAAAATTAAAATTGCCGGTACTAACGCAGAAGTCATGCCTTCTCAGGTGAGAAAATATTCAATTTAAAAATTGAATCTATAATGGGCTTGTACTGTACGGTATAATTAACTCTCTGTCAAAAATGCAAAACGATTGACGGATAATAATAACGACTACTTTACTCTATCAAATTATGGCTATACCGTATTTTGCAAAATTTATTTTGAGTCATAATGTAGTTAACAACTGATCGACTGGCGATTGTAAAACCGCGAGACTACGATATATCTAATTTTTGTTGGTGATAATAATCAATTTGGGAGTATAGTAAATCAGCTACACGTGTCTTTGGCAATAAACTGTAAATCTATGATGTCTATGGTTTTAAATTAAAAATTCGGACGTTGCGTACTAAGATTAAACAGTACACGGGTGTTGGATGAAAGTGATAAAAGTTAATGGTAGCCCAATTGATATCAAACTGTTGTTAACATAGTAAACAGTGTACAAGTATCTAAACATTGCCAAATTGTTATTAAAATTAGACTACTTAATGCCAAATTGCCTGCTGTACGCAATTAATAGGGAATATAAACTTTTCATTTATCGATGACTCTTTCATTGACTTTGTTTGCTACCATCAAAATTTGTTCTGCCTCTACTGGTGTTGGAATATTTCTTGAAATTTTTTTTACGCCTTATTTTTGGTTCATTATAATCAATTAATTAATATATTGTATAGTCTTACAGTAGTATGTGATGAACAGTGATGAACCATGCGTCTAGTACTCTGTGGTGTTTAATCGCTAGTCAAACATGTTTACTTAAGACATAATCAGAACACTATACAACGTTAATTTACTATTGTTTACCGATCTTACATCGTTTTTCAGTTGTATAGTATTTAACAATTTTTACTCCAGGTGGTTCTGATCGTTAAGAAACGCATTAAGTGTACTGTATTTATAACGAATTCGCATTGTACTGAATTTATAGCGTGCGTGCGTGCCAGCAAAAGCAGCTTTACAGTAGAGTAGAGTACAACTTGTGATTTATAAGAATTTTTACTTTTTTTCTTAGTTGAAAAATGAGATAGCGTTTTAGCATGTACAATGTACATGTAACAGTACAGCATATTGTACCTCATTATTACCTAAAGTCACGAACAAACTTTGAGTTCTATTCAAAAAAATTGATATCTATTCATTTAGAAAGTTGACACTTGCGTAAATGTTACCACCATTGGAACATGCACGTAAATGATTCGTTAACAAAAAAACATATGTTGTAAGATTTAGTGATTGAATCTAGTTATTTACAGGTTAAAATGTATGCGTATCAACCATTTGCCGATATATATTTTACCGTTCATTACGACTACAGTATACGCTTAGTTAGAGCGATAGTATCATATACTGTACGTGTATTTGCACATATCTTGTGCTTTTTGCCGGTATGTCAATTAGTATACAGTATATACCATGAGCTGGCCTAATTGTCCTACGTTGCAACATAGTAATCTCCAATTCGTAATATATTAAATTTCTGAGAGTGAACTATTTTCAGTTACTATACCTGGCAAGGGCTGAAGTATCGAATAAAATATCATAATAATATCCAAATACAGAGTCATCCATCATATCTTGCTACTTTCTGCAAGCCCTTTAAAATTGATTAAACATGAGATAATCAATGGAAACATATGTTTCTTTAAATATGCGAATTCTTTCATTATTGGGTACTTTGCTGTTGGCTTTTCAACCTAGAATTTATTAAATTTTTTAAATAAAGCTATAATTATTATAGACTACAAAAAAATTGCCTTTCCAATAAGGAATACGAAAACCATAAATAACCCACCCTTTCATTGATTTAAAATTTCTTTCATTTTAAAAAATAGTGGGAATATCAAATAGGCCCCTGCGAAGGAATCGATATTGGTGATCATTTATGGATGTCTCGATTTATATTGTATCGAATTGCGGAAGAATTTGGCGTTACAGTAACTTTAGATCCGAAACCGGTAGAAGGCAATTGGAATGGATCTGGAGCTCATTGCAATTATAGTACTCAACGGATGCGAGAAGACGGTGGAATAAAGTATATTCATGAGGCGATAGAAAAATTATCCAAAAGGCATAAAGAACACATAAGATTATATGATCCCAATGGTGGTAAAGATAATGAAAGACGCTTAACTGGTAAGCATGAGACATCCAGTATAGATAATTTCTTTTCTGGCGTAGCTCATCGTGGTGCCAGTATCCGTATACCTAGACCATGCAGTGTCGCTGGCAAGGGATACCTGGAAGATAGGCGACCTTCTTCCAATTGCGACCCATATGACGTTTCATATGCTATTGTTCGTACTACAATTATAGACGACAATTGGGTAGACTAATTGAATATCATATCATTATTACCTTGAATGTTAGTAATATCTAATATAATTTTTAAAGTCAATTTCACAAGTAAGCCTTTATGTCCTAACAGCTTACTAATAACTTGTTAACATTAATATTATTGCCATGATTAATGTGCTGTTATCTAGCATCGTTACTCACATAAGTTAAGGTGAAGACCGATGCATCACCTTAACTTAACCTTATATTACAATTTTGCTTTTACCAATAATATTAAGAGTATCATATCAACATATCATCCAACCAGGATTCGATCATAAATCCCTGGTGCGTAATCCCATTGGTCGTTACATTAATAACGCTCCACCTGAATAGGCTCTAAATCATGGTAGTAGAAAATCAATTTGTAAATCAATATTGAAAAAAAATGGGAGTAATATCATATGAGATATAGCGTAGCGAGAGTCATCTGTGGATATCCATCAAATGACATTTAAATAAAATATATGTATACAACTTCTAAACCTATACCTAGCGAAATTTGTGGTGTTGCCTTCGATAGTTCAATTCAATGAGATATATAATTAATAGAACCCAGCATGAAATTATTAGGGTCGTGTATGTTGTTGGTATAACTTTATTGCTGCTCATTTAAAGTGTAAATATCAGAGTACCGACATTGCATATTAGGCAATAAAGTAATCATAAGCCACTGACATAACACCATATATGTCAAGTTCATATGCTGGAGTTTAAAGCCACTGGAGATTATTAATGTTTAAGAAATTTCCGTCGGTTATCATTCGTTAATGAAAATCATTTCAATATTTACAAATCAATATGATACAAATTAATACTCATTTCCGCAAAGATCAGATAGTTAAGTACAAACTGCTACATTTAAGGTGTATAGCTTTGTATATATATATATATATAACACATACAGTACAATAACCAGCAATTTATAACACATATAAGTATCATTACAAAATATTCATTCATGATTTATCACAATAATCACTAATTTAAAGACAGAATTGATAACTGCAAATAATCATTTCAGTAAGGAAGAAAATTCAATAGTCTTGACTAAAAAATAAATAATATATCAGTATCAATGACGCAATCTAATGCAGTAAAGAAAACAACTGCAGTCATAGTGAAATAGAGATTTAATAAAGTGTATAAAAATGTATGACAGAATTTACGATCGCTATTCGTAGATACATAATTCCCATAGCTATAAATGATATATAAACAATTTTAAAATGCATAAAAAATTCGGAATTTAGATAATTCTTTTCCATTTCTTTCTTATAATTATTAACATTATATAAATAGTAATACAGAGTTTTCGTAATTTTTGTCCAAATGAAATCAATCGCGATTATACTGTACATGATTTTTATGAAATTATCCTTAAATTTCTTGCAATCTACCAACACAAAAAGCGCATGGTATTAATATTTGGGTATCCGTTACTCTTGGTCCATTTACTATCCCAGATTCGATCTCCTTTGTTATAAAACTAGCAGTTTGTGATGTAGCTTCAACTTCCTGCAATAATTGTACAATTTCTTTCGCAGTTTCATCATTAACTGAATAAGACTCTAAATTATCCTTCGTCGATAATAGATTGCTATCGTTAGGTAACGTATTATTTGCTACTTCTGAAGCAGATTTCAAAGCCGTACTCTCAGCTGTAAATGCAGTAGGATTCTGAAAGTTCAAACTTGCATTCTGACTTGAATCCCCTGTTAAGTTAGTAACCTGCAATTGCAGTTGTTGCTTCTCATGAACCAATTGTAAAATCAATTTCTGTAGTTGCTGAGTTTTTTCCTAATGGAAGAATATTATTATTATCATTATTCTAGAGTAGGAAAACTATACTTGTACCCGCATTTTAACATTACAGAATTTACGCAATCTTTACCTGCATATCTTGCCTTTGTTCGGTTAGCTGTGCAATTAACCTCTCTTTTTCGTCGTAACGAGTTCTCAGTGCATCTCTCTGCTTATGATATAAGGCTATATACTCTCCTGTACAAATATAAAAAATTAAAATCTATCCATCAATATCATGATTTCGATTTCAAAAATAAATTTAACAACTGATACATACTAATTACTAATAGCCATCCGCTATAAAAGTGGCAACGCAATGTAAATATACCATACCTATCGTATCTGTTTCGTTGGATAATTGTACGTTAAGATGATCCAATTCATAAACTTTTTCACTAAGTGAAGCATTTTCTTCCATAACGGTTACAAATCGTGCCTATGACAAGAAAAAAACATACAAATTCTATTACTATGATGTTATGATAAAGATAATGGTTAATAAAAATCTATTAATATTTACCTGTAGTTTCTCCATAGCATCTTGTAATATACGAAATTTTTCAGTTGACTCGCTATCTGTATTATCAGCTTTTATATATTATAAAAACATAATTATCGTCATGCCAAATTTAAAAGCAGAAATTGAATCAGTATTTACCATTATTAGCAGTGACGTCAACACTTAGTTGATTAACTAAATTTCCATGTTCTGTAAGTTGTTTAGTTAATTTTTCCTTTGCATCAATTTCTTCCTTTACTTGCTGAATCAATTGATCTCTTTCCAGTTCCAACTGTCTAACCGAAGCTGATAGGAGCTCAAGCTAAATTCAACATATAGGCAAAAATATATCGTTCCTGGTCATTCATAGTACCATCTACACTTACTAGACCTTATTTTAATCTTACCATAACATTGCTATCCTTTTCAATATTACCAACATTTTCTATGAAGATCAGTTACATGTACAAGCAATTTTAGTAATGCATATTGACTTCCTTTACTCAAGTAGCATTATTAAGAATTTTCGTTCTATCGTACCAGTATTATACTGATTTCTTCCTGATGCCATATCAAGCAACGAGGCCTTCTCCTAAATTTTATTATGATTACGTGTAGGTGTTAGAAACAAGACGAAAATGAAACAAGCATGTATAAAAGCAGGTACAATTTACCTGAGCAACTTGCAATTCTCGTGATATAGATGAGTTTGTGTCCTTTACGGATTGCAACTCCGATCTCATCCTATCGTTATCTTGATTCTATTATAAGTCCATAGCGTTATTCAATAACATGTATAGAACATCTTAAGCTGTAATTTTTACCTGCTGATTTACATATTCTGACAAATTTGAATTTTGACGCACGGATTGATTTAGTTGATAAGATACCTCTGACAGCTATAAAATAATTTAAGAAGATATCAATGATTAGCTATTGTGTAAAATATATTGAGCAGCAAAATTTTTCTTAACCTTCTCTCTTGTTACTAGAAGCTCAGATTCTTGGCTTTTTATTTTTAAATTTAATTCCTCGAGCTCTTTTGTTTGCTTTTCAAAATTACTCGAAAGCTGATTGTAAATATTTTTCTACGAAATAAATAATTGTAGTTAACTTGCTATTTAATTGTAATATAATACTATTGATACTAACAAAATGTCTTATATTACAAATACTCCATTAGTACGATAAAATGCAGTAAGATAACGTTATAATAATATACCTGATCACTTAATTGGCTAATTAAACTGTCATTTGCGGAATTTATCAAATCCAGCTGCTGCTCTCTATCCGTTAACTTTAGTAAAGCATTGAAATTTACATGTTACAAAGTTTCACGACATCCTACAATACATTGTATCTTAGCAATAGCTACCACGCAGTAGAATATAGAGGCAAACCTGCTTAATAGTTTGACGTAATTGTACTTCTTTTTCATGAACTTTATCAGTGGATTCTTTTGCTGTATAGGTAAATGATTCTAGTTTTGTATTGAGTTCCATGTTTTCGTTACTCTATAATTGTAAATAATATAAACCAGATTTACATCCATTGTTAAACGTGCGTGCATCCTTAACTTTTCAATTAATAATAGCGATATAAGTTACCATTATGACGAATTTTTCTTGTAATTCGGCTAATCGATTCTTAAGATCTTTATTCTGAGTCAAAGCTCTTAAATAAAAATAAATACCAGATATATTACTACCAACTGTATCCCTATAATACGGGTATACTGTACTTTCAATAAACGGCAATAATCACTTACCGACTGATAGTTTCCTGATCGCTTTGTAAAGTTTCTAGTAATTTTTCCCTATCCACACTTTCATCTTGCAAAATACTAACCTCACTTTCCAACTCACCGAGGTAGCTCACTTTCTCCATGTAAAGTCTGTATTTCAAAGTATCAAAGAAATAATTTTTAGCATGTCCTTCGAATCATATAATCATACCACTAATCGAATCCTTGTTATGAAAAGTTTCTTCTAACCTTTTTAATTCGATATGTTTACTAGTCTGCACAATTTACAGATTGTTGAAGAATTAGTTTCGCGGCATCTATAAAATCAAATGAATCTAAGAAGCTACAAACCAATTCCTTATGACTTTGCTCCAGTTCGCCTTTTTCTTCAGTTATCCTACCAAATTTTTCAGCTAATTGAAGGTTCACCTCTTTGTTCTGACTATCTTGTCGATTCTCTGAAATAAAATTTAGTGTGAAAATATTTATAACCGTTTTGGGGTGGCAAGTATGAAAACCGATTTAACATACCCAAGCTATGAGTAAGTTGATCTATGGTAGCTTGACGTTGATGATTTTCCGTAATTAGACTGTCTCTTTCCACTTTTACATCTTCTAGCTCTTTTTCTAAGTGATGAAGGTATTGCTCACTTTGCATTGTGATATCTGATTGTTGTTGAATGACAGCCTCTTTTTCTGCAGTAAGACGATGTAATTTACTCATCATCTAGAAAACGATAGATAAAGGAAATAATTTCTGTAAGTATGTATTAAATGCATTGGCAATTCGTGTTCTCAACACGTTGCCAAAGTTTATTAAGTGGTTGACAGACTAGATACAAAGCTTCACCTGAGTTAATCTAGCCTGCATTTCCCTTTTTTCTTCATTCAATTTTTGAATAACTTGCTGCATATTTGCTACATCCGAATTAGTTGATAACTGATTAACG